TACATATATATACACACACGCACACGCACACTTTCAGTCCGCTGGAATGCACAGTCGGCCGCTGCGCGCACGGTGACACAGCGGTGACAGCAGTGGTCAGGCGCGCGACGAACACACAAGCACGTTCTTGCCAGGGCGCGCCGATGGGATGCAGTCGGCGGAAAACATGGTTTCAGAAGGCGAAAACCCCCCCCCCGTCCCGACCCCATCCCCGAACCCGCGATCCAGGGGATCGGGACTGAGGGCGGGGGTGGTTCTTCGGGGTCCACGAATGGAGGTAACGCCCCCACCCCCAGTCCCGACCTCTTGACTCGCCGGCTCGGGGGTGAGTCGGGACTGGGGGTGGGGGGGTGGGCTTTCGCCTTCTCATGGCACGAAGGCGGGCGAGCTACGCTCAACACACACACACACACACACACACACACACACACACACACGCACGCACACACACACACACACACACACACACACACACACACACACACACACGCACACACACACACACACACACACACACACACACACACACACACACACACACACACGCACGCACGCACGCACGCACGCACGCACGCACGCACACACGCACACACACACACACACACACACACACACACACACACGCACGCACGCACGCACGCACGCACGCAACGCACGCACGCACGCACGCACGCACGCACGCACGCACGCACACACACACACACACACACACACACACACACACGCACGCACGCACGCACGCACGCACGCACGCACGCACGCACGCACGCACGCACGCGCGCGCACTCTTGGCGGTCGCGGCCTCGCGCGCAGCGTCGAGGCGGAGAAAGTCACCGCACGCGCGCGAGGGCGTGCGCGCGGCGGGCCCCTCAGAGCGTGTCAGCACCTGGGCTGGATCGACGTTGCCATACGTATACGCATGTTGCTCCCATCGCACTTCAGGACCACATCCCAGAAAAAATATTTCGAGCACCCAGAAAAGTATCGAAACGGTGTCGAACGAGTATCGCCTCCCAGGGCCCGACACGTGAAAACCCTCAAGTGCCGGCACCTTCTTGGTGCACGAAATTATTGTCGGCGATCAAGGCTAAAGTAAGTTGGAACATCATAAACGTATACCCGGGCGTGGGCAGCGAGGGTGCAGAGGGTGGAAGGGCGCGAGCCCAGGACAAACAGAGGCGCAAAAACGACGAGCGACGAGAATTGGCAAGAACGGCCGACGCCAGGGTGGCGGCAGGAAGCTGCAGGCAGAGCGGCGCGGCGACGAGGTCAGCCAGGAGGCGAGGTCGCGCACACACGCGCGGGCGGCCGGAGAGGCGCCAAGCCGCACAGAGGCGACGGACAGGCAAGGAAAGTGCAAGGAGGGCAGTGTAGAGGGCAAAAAATCCACCCCCAGAATAATCACCCCGACAAGCGAGGCCGGTTAGCAAACGCACCCAAAGAAGGAATCGAACAGGGCAGGGCTGTTTAGTAAATGCCCAGGGCCGTTAGTAAACGCCAATTATCGGGTCCGGGTGCTTTTTCTTCCCTTGACAATACGGTCCCAGCGCATCGTCCGCGCGGGAGCGAAAGCGAGGCACCGTGCGGAGGGGGGCCCAGGTGAAGCACGGCACGAGGATGAGGGCATCCTTCACCACGCTGGCCGGTCCCACCAGGGTGCCAGTGCCGAGACAGGCGTGCCTGGCGTGGGCGGGGAGCAGGCTATCGCCCAGAGCGGCGCGGGGGCGGGCGACCCGGCTAGGGCAGGTCACGCGAAGGCCTACGCCTTTGCGAGCTCGGCTCATCGGCCGAAACCGGGGGGGGCGCAGGTTCTGGCTGCCAGTCCTCGGGGACGCTCAGGAGAGAGGCGCAGAGCTGCTCCGCAGTGCAGCAAGGGGTGTCCGCCTGGGCGGAGCCGAGGCTCGCGGGCCCGAAAGGCACGAGCCCAACCCCGCCATTCGAGAGCAGCCCGGGCCGCAGCGGGCTCGCATGGCGTGCAGAGACGCGACGAGGTCCAGCCGGGAGGAGTCCTCGGCGGGATTCCCATCGGCGGGGACCGGTGCGGGAGGGGCGGGCGCGGGCTGCTTGGCCGAGGGCGCGCTGCCTGCCGACGCGTTCGCAGGGGCGCTGGGGCGGCGTGCGTCGGCAGCTCCTGCGGAGCTGCCACCCCCCTGGTCGGCGCCCCGGAGCCTCGAGTTAGCTCGCGCACGTAACCCTACAGGCGGAGTTTGGAGTAAAAGTTGAAAGTAGTAGAAACCAAGAGAAGTCCGAAATATTCGAAACATCGTCCCCTGACTAGTTTTAAAACTATTTTTAGACATTCCTCCTCTAGAGGGACAGGCCCGACGTAAGACTGGAGATCCACGGCCAATCAAGGGGGAGGCGACGGCTCGGCCACAGGGAAGTCATGGCTGGCGGGCGCGCCCGAGGGTGGCCTGGCAGAGCCGCGTGGCCGCCCACGCGCGAGCGGGCGACGGGCGTGCTGGGGAGCGGGCATCGGCGAGGGGGGGCCACTGCGAGGCGGGGATTGATCCACACCCACCGCCTGGGAACCGACGTCCTGGTGCCCCAGCGGGCGGTGGCGATGGATATATTTCGGCCCCAGGCGGCCCGAGCATGTCCACATCCACTGCCCGCCGAGGCTCCGAAGGCTGACCCTCCAGGCGGTGGTCATGTACAAATTCCCGCCTCGGAGCCATGGGGCGCGGTCAGAGCCCGTCGTCGGGCGTGTCAGCGCGGCGCCCGACGGCCGATGGCCACAATGGCGGCCCTCCGGGGCCGGCTGCTGCCGGAGCTGCAGCGCGCGCCTGGCCGTGGGCGCTCGCGGGGCAGCGAGGGCAGTGGCCCGCGCTGCCGTGGTGGCGGCGGCGGGACGGGAGGTGCCTCGCGCGGAGCGGCGGCAGGATCCTGCCATACGCGACGGGAGGTGCACACCTCGTCGGGCGAGTGGCCAGCCGACGCCGCCCTGGCCCCCGTGGCTGCGGCCTGCTCGGGGCGCGGGGCGCCGGTGGGGGAGGGACGCCGCGCGGCACTGGCAGGAGGTACGGGCGGGCGCGCCTCGGCCAGCCCACCTCACCCTTTTCGCGGCGGGGGCGGGCGACTGACCCGCACTGCGGGGCGGGGTTCCTGCCCAGACCCCGCGCGGCGCCCCAGAGTTAGTTTCAGGCGCCGCTGCGCGCCACGTGCGATTCCGGTTGCCCGCTTTGGGCTGGGAGCGGACCAGTCGGAGAGCGAGGTCACGCTGGTCGGCAGTGGAGAGAGCTCGCATTCAAGCTCTTTGGGCTCCCGGCCGGCCACGACGGCGACAGCGTACTCTGGGTGGTTGAGGCTGGGGTCAACGTGAAACGAGGGCCCCTGGGTGCCAATCGTGACGCCCAGGAGCTCCCGCCAGATGTCGGGCCTCCTAGCGGCCTTCCGAATGGTCGCAAGCTTTCGAAGCACCCTGGGGTCGGAGTACGCAGAGGCTGTGTCGTATCCGCTGGGGCGGGGCGCGCATTGCCTTTGGAGGTCTTGTAGCCGTAGGCACGTTCCAAGAAGCGAGCGAACGTGTCATCAGAGCAGGCGGCGGCGACACAGCGTGACAGCACTGGTCAATCCCGCGACGAACACTCAGACGCGTGCGGGCGCGCCGATGGGGTGCAGTCGGCGAATCACGCATTGCGAAGGTGGGCGAACTACGCGCGACACAAAAATATATACACACAACACACACACACACACGCGCGCGCGCACGCGCACACACACACACACACACACACACACACCACACACCACATACACACACACACACACTTACACTTTCTGGTCGTCGCGGGTGGGCGACTCGCCACACCGTCAGACGCGCCGCGCGGAGGACCGCGCGCGCGCCCAGTACGGTGGGGGCGCTGGACAGGGAACCCTTAGATAGGAAACCCAGGGCTTGGAAGCTGGTGGATCTCCAATCGTGGATCGGCCATGGATATCACCGCCGCCCTCGTTAGATCAGGAATCCTCCACGGTCTGAAGCCTGCTCGGCGCATTCCATCACAAACGCCCCAACCGCAGACAAGAGAGGGGCAAGGAGAAGGCAAGACGGCCGACCCCTCACGGGACAGTGCCTGGGTGCGGCGCCGGGGCGCCGGGGCAGCGAGGCAACGGGCAGGCGCAGGCGAGCGGCGGGGGCGGCGAGGGGGCGGCGGCCGCAGGGCGGGGCGCCAGGGCGGGGCGCCAGGGCGGGGCGGGGCAGCGGGGCGGCGAGCGAGGGCGGGGCAGCCAGAGGGGCGCCGCGCCGAAGCGAGGCAGGCGGCCCGCAGCGACGGACCGGCAGGAGAGGCGCGACGCGAAAGAAGGGCGGGCAGAGCGCGGCCCGCAGCAGCAGGACTGGCGGAAGGGGGGCGACCGGCACACACCCACACACTTTTTGATCTGCGGGGCGAGAGCGAACCTCCTCCGCTAAAAGCTAGGCGGGCACAGGAAGGCGGGGCCTCAGGCGGCCTGAGCGGGCGGGGCCCGGGGAACAGGCGGTGCCGAAGTGGATGTGCAGGAAAAGGTACGCCACGGACAGGGACCCAGGGCGAAGACCCGGAAGGCGAAGGAAATGGTGTTGCCGTCAACGGCACTTCGCGAACACCAGCCTCAAGCACTGCAGGGGAGGACGCGCCAGATGACCAGGTCGACGCCCAGGAGGAAGAAGAGCACCACGAAGGCGCACACACACACACCCATACACACACACACACACTTGTGTTTGGCGTCGCGGCCACGCGCGCAGCGGCGCGGTGAGAAAAAGTCGGGCGAAGAGACGCGCGCGGACGGCCCAGGTCACGCTGCGATGGGGCCATGGATCTGCCCAGTCACGCAGTCACGCACACACGCAGCCTCCGAACACAACCCACTCAAAAATGGTGCCTGGACCTGTCCCGGGGGCCCATGCTGGCCGGATGTTGAGGCCGCGCCCAGCCGTGGCAACGAGGAGGGCCACCGAAGTCCAAAACGAGGAACGAGGAGGAGGAGGAGGAGGAGGAGGAGGAGGAAGAGGAAGCCTGACAGCGTGACGCAGCCCATAAAGAACCACCAGGTCGCCACGATCAATCGGACGTAGTGCAGCACTCGGGGCACGAAGGTGCCCTCGCCACGGGGCAACACGGGAGGGGGAGGAGGCAGCGAAGGCTTTGGTGCTCTGAAGGCGAACATGGCGGGTTGAGCACAGACTATGAATGAGGCAAACATGCCATGGCAGATTCTGGTAGCGGAATGAAACCAGCCAAACATCCCCGATGTGCTTTGCCCGACAATCAATCCTCGGCACGTCGTCCCAAAGCTTACTTCCCAGCATGAGGAAGTCGGTAGTCCTCTCGGAGCCCCTACATGAGGCGGAGACTGCTCGCGCGGCCACTATGGAGATTGCACCAGATGGCGAATCTGTGCAGAGGCGGTACACCAGCCACCGTGCCCGCTGGCAGGTGCTGCCTGGCAGAATCTCCGCAAAAGACTAGAATCGGGTTTCTGCTGACCCGGATCACTGCAAACTCAGGTCAACCAGGCCGTGCAAAATCCTGCAAACTCTTGCAGGATCCTGCGCGCCAACCCGGGTCAATGCAACCCTGGCTCTGCAGGATCCTGCCACATCCGGAGCTCTGGCTGACCCCCGTTTGCATTGGCCCCCGTCTCTGACAGCTCGATAGAAAGGCCCCCCCCTCTTCCCGGTCACACTTCTGGGGAAGCCAAGAGGTACCGATACCGCTACTCCCCGGACCTCTCCTGGGGTGCGTTCTGCCCAGAATTTCAAGGCGAATCCAGCGATGGCGACGAGGGCCTCCCAGGAGGCCCAAAAAGGGGAAAACGGGCGAGGGGGTAGAGGTATGGGTGGGTACCTTTTCCTTCTCTGAACTTCCCCGCATGCACCGCCGCACCCCACCCCCTCAGGATTCACGAGCGGACCGACGCGACCCCCAGAGATCTCCAAGGTTCTCCCCCAGGGCTGCCCAGGAAGGCCACCAGGGCCGCCAGGATGCCCGACATCGTCTCGGGAGGCGCTCGCGACGTGCCCCTCAGAAGATCCCAAGAAGCGCCGAAGGAGCCTCAAGAGGCCTCCCAGACACCAAAGATCGGCGGCGGGCGAGGGGGAGAAGTGAGAAGGAGAAGGCCCTCTCAGAAGGCTCGGAAGTCCCCAGGCCTTCTGAGAAATTGTCTGAGCATTCCCCGAATACCAAAAAAACTTCTCAGAAGGCGCGAGGGTTTCTGAGAAGTCCCGCCGCCTTCTGAGAAGGCCGTCTCCTTCTCAATTCCCCCCTTTGCTCGCCACCAAAAAGAGACAAGCAAGAGGCCTCCAGGAAGGCCCGATTTTTTTCGAACAAGATTTCGCAGTATGTGTTGATGTTACGTTTGCCGCAGCTCACGGCTCAAGATCGTTCCAAGAGATCCTCGGAGACGTCGGAGGAGCCACAGGGAGGCCTCAAGAGCGCAACAAGAGCCCCAAGATGGCGCAAGAGGGGCCCCGGACAGTCAATGAGGGCTCCAAGATGGCCCCAGAAAGCCGCAAGAAGCCACCGAGACAGCCCCAAGAGACTCCCCAGACTGAGGGATGAAAAAAACGACCCTACCCTGGGTTATAAGTGCGTGGTCTGTAAACCTCCTGGGAACCCCCAAAGCCCAGAGCCGCCAGGACGCGGCACATCACGCAGGGTTTACCCTGTCAGCCCACAGGAGTTTCAGCGCACAGCGCCTCGTAAACCAGGGTAGGGGCGTTTTTTCTGCCCTTGACAGACGGCCAGGATTGCCAGAGATGAGTGACCCAAGACGGCACCAAGACCGTCCAAGAACCTCAGGCTGGCCCACCGGAGCCCAGAGAGGGCCGCCAGGCGGCCGAGCAGGAGCCCCAGACACAGCCAGATGGCCAAGGTACGCCCCATGAGAGATCCCCAAGGAATAGACACGAGAGTAAGGAGTATACAGAGAAGAGGTGTCACATGTTAAAGGCCTCCTGGGCGGTAATCGAACTGCCACCACGCAGAATGCATTTGACAACACTCTAGCGGCTAGCGTTTGCGGTGTTCTGAACTTCTCAAGACAAGAAGCCTAACATGCTCCGCTGCATTGTCTCACTAGTATTCCACATCCTCCTCAGATTCACCCTCGCCAGCAGCATCATCATCATCATCATCATCAGCATCATCATCATCATCATCATCATCAGCATCATCATCATCATCATCATCATCATCATCATCATCATCATCATCATCATCGTCATCATCATCATCATCATCAGCATCATCATCATAATCATCAGCAGCATCAGCAGCAGCATCGCCATCATCACAGCAGCAGCATCATCAGCAGCATCATCAACGTCAGCATCATCATCAGCATCAGCAACAGCATCATCATAATCATGATAATCGCCATCATCATCATCAGCATCATCAAAGACGGCCTAACGGCAGCCTAAAACAGACTAAAGACCGCCGATGTAATCCCCATAAGAGCCCCGCGAGGAATATGTACGTAAGTTGAAAAATGCTACGGCCGTCTGGCAGAGCCCGAACCATCGCCAAGTGGCAGTATGCCTATCACGTACTTACGGGAGCCCAAAACACCTCCAGGACAGCCCTGGTAGCCTGCATGAGACCAGCCCCAGCAATATGGATGAGAGGTCCAGCTCCGTGCTCGAAGGCTACAATCGAAACCCACGACACGCCAAAGGCATAGAAAACAAGCGAAGTATATTAGACGCGGAGATCCCCTACAAGTGCAGACCAGTTCCTGGCACGTCGGTCTGCGAGCGCCTGAGTGAAAGGATACCAGACTGCTGGCGACTGAGCACTGCATGATGGCCCCCCATCGGAGCGCCCAAGTGCTATGCCTGCTACATCGGGTTGATCGTAGGACTCTGGAGCGCGAGGGTCGGGGGTGCCCACATCAGCCGTTCCCCCGAGAGGTTCCACGATCTGGGCGCGAAGTGAAAGGTACGGCACGCCCTGGTGGCTCCCTCTTGGGCTGCACACATGCTATACCTACTGCATCGCTATGGTCATGGGGCTCTGAACGGAAAAGGGTCGGGGGTGCCAAAACCAAGGATTCGCTCAAGGCGTCCCCGCAATTTAAAAGCAAAGCGCAAGTGCACCCCTCTTGGCGGCTCCTCTTTGTGGTCCCCCCGTGATACGCACGCGTGTGTGTTAGCCAGCGCGGACCCCAAACAGTGGTTTCTAGCATACTGGGTGATGCAAGATACGTGGTGCAAACTATGTGGTGCAAAATAGGTGGTATAGGCTAGGTGGTGTAAGCTTTGTGGTGCAAGCTGCGTGGTGCAGTCGACGTGGTACAATCCATATGGTGCGAGCTGTGGTGCAAGCTTTGTAGTGCAGTCCAAGTGGTGCAGTCTACGCAGTGCAATCTATATGGTGTGAGCTAGCTGGTGCAAGCTTTGTGGTGCAAACTATGTGGAGCCAACGTACTCATCGAGGTGGTCTGAGCAATGTTATATTCGGCGCGAGCGATTGTAGTGCAATCTATGTGGTGCAATCCATCTGGTGCGCTATCTGTGGTGCAAGCTGTGTAGTGCAATCTGAAGTGTGCAAGCCAAGCAGCGGACTATATGAGGTGTGAGCTATGTGGCACAGTGCAACATAATGCAACGAAATGCAAAGCAATGCAAAGCAAGGCAAAGCAGGGCGAATCAAGGCAAAGCAATGCAAAGCAATGCAAAGCAATGCAAAGCACTGCATAACGAAGCAACGCAATGATTGCAATGCAATACGATTGCAATGCGATCGCAAGGCTATGCGATTCCACTGCGAATGCAATGCGGTTGCAATGCAATGCGATTGCAGCGCAATGCCATGCGATTGCAGCGCAACGCAATGCAATGCAATGCAATGCAATGCAATGCAATGCAATGTAGCGACGAGGCGGCGGCGCCGGGCGGCGACGAGGCGGTGACGGGCGGCGACGAGTGGCGACGAAGGCGACGGGGCGACCACAAGCTGGCCAAGGCGGCTCATGAGCGGCGACGAGGCGGCGGCGGGCGGCGACGAGTGGCGACGGGGCGGCGACGGGGCGACCACAAGCCGGCTGGGGCGGCACCGCAGCCTGGCCCTTTGAAAACACGCAAGAGATCCTAAGTGCAAGCACCGATTGGGCATACACACTGTTGCACATGGATCTATACACGTAAATGATCCATGTGTATATATATACACACGTGTATGATCTATGCACATAGATGTGTATATATATGTGCGTGTGCACATCAATGTACATGGATGTGTAAAGATGTGTGAACACACGATCCACATATATATATATGTCCACACATACATCTACATTCGGCGCCACGACCTGTCGGCCCCAATGTCTATGTGCAGATGTCACGATCGATACGTGAATCGATCTCATTACTCACACATCGGTTTTACTACCGATCCATAGACGGGACGACGGCAAAACCACCACGGGACAACCACGGGACGACCGCGGGACAACCCAACGACCAACCACGACACAATCACGGGACTGGCACGGGATAACCACTCGGCGGCGAGCGAGGGGGGGAAGTGAGAAGGGGCGGGCCTTCTCAGAAGGCTCGGAAGTTCCGGGCCTTCTGAGAAGTCTTCCAAGCCTTCCCCGAAGACAGAAACACTTCTCAGGAGGCGCGCGGGCTGCTGAGAAGCCCCGCCGCCTTCTGAGAAGGCCCTGTCCTTCTCATTTCCCCCCCTCGCTCGCCGCCGAACCACGGGACGACCACGAGGACAGCCGCGGGTGAGCATCGTTTAACCGATCACTATGGCCCACCAGCGTGGGCTGGGCCCCACTGGCCGATTTACCCCCCTGACAGGGGATACAGGCTGCTCTCTTCGAATTTTGAGGGGCACATCCCCAACTGAGGTGGTGGGACGGTGGGGCTCGAGATGTGGATGGGGATGGGGATAGGGATCGGTTAAACGATACTGAGCGGGAGACAGCCACTAGGGGAACGAAAAATGACATTGATTTTAAAAACTCGGAGGTCCGCGCGGATTTCTTGGATCCGCGCTGGACCCCCCTCCCTGGCGCGCGGAGCGCACTGGCGGCGCCGGAGGCGCCGCCAGGGGGTTCCAGCGGGGATCCGAGAAGTCCGCGCGGACCTCAGAAGTTTTGTGCTTAGGTCATTCTTCGTTCCCCTGGCCACGGGGCAACCACGGAACAGCCGCGAGACGACCCCGGGACGACCGATGGGGGCGGCCGCGGGCGAAGCCGCGGCACCGCCGCGGGGGCAGCCCCGCGCAGATCCCCCGGCCCACGCCGCCAGGTCCTAGCTCGGCCTGGGCCGGGCCAGGGCGGGATGGGTCGCCCTCGCCCTCGCGCAGGGTCGCCTCGCCCGCCACGCGGAGGAGGAGGAGGAGGAGGGGAAGGGGGAGGAGGTGGAGGAGGAGGAGGAGTAAGGAGGAGGAGGAGGAGGAGGAGGAGGAGGAGGAGGGGAAGGGGGAGGAGGCGGAGGAGGAGGTGGAGGAGGAGGTGGAGGAGGGGGCCTCCGTCTGATTTCTGTTACGCCTGGGCCCGAAAACAAGCGGCACCACCCCACCTACAGCCGCGTTTGCGTGGTATGCGCTACGGCGCCCGATGGATCGCAGCGCAACATGGAAGGCCTTAGGTGGGTGGTGCCGTTCGATGTTTGGTCGAATACCCCCATCAACCTCCAGTGTAAACTACTGCACATTGCGACACCGGAGAGCCACCGCGAACGGTGCTGTGCAAGTGGGGCAAGGGGACAATAGAAAAGCACAGGCTTACGCAAAGGTGCCTCTCCAATGTGTCGACGGCTCCAGGCAGCTTCGGACGGGACTCGAAGCACGATGAGCGTGATCATCAATGTTCTACGGTCAACGTTGTTAGTCTGCCGATGCGACACCCTTGACCACGATTCGTGGGAACACATACAGGCACAATGGGTCGTGCCTCGCTCTCGAAGCTGGACATGTAGACGTTGTGACAGAGATTGTGCTGGTCCACGGCGTGCCTGCGCGAGCGCAGATCCACATCCCTTCGCCCCGGAGACGGCTGAGCGAGCAATCCGTGCTTACCTCTGGCTGCGGCAGAGGCTCTCGAATCCTGGGCCACTCCCCTCTTCGTCGCCACGAGCTGGCCGAAATCATCGGCGTGCAATCATCCCGAAAGCTCGACCAGTCAGCTTCTCCCGAGTATCGATCTAACAACGAATTCCTCCGGATTGAGACGCTAGTGTGCCCCATTTCAGAACCACGGCAAGCAGCACCATTGAAAATCTCCGCTTTGCCGATGTACCAAGCAATAGCGAGTTGCTGGGCACCTGGGGCATGTTTCGCGAGGGGAAACGTCCCAAGCACAAAAACAATCGAAGTGTTTAACGAGTCTCACAACAGATAACAGCGGGTGCCCGATGGCGAAGCCGTGAGGGCTCGATCTACTTTGGGGAGAGATCAGACCATAAAGACTAGGTGCTGTTCATCACGTTCGGGAAGAGATTGCCCCTGCTTGCGCAATAATACCTCGTACACCAGCCTTTGGCGATGACATCGAACTCCTGCTTAGAAGGCGTGGCCAATCTATCCAGCCCTCTCAGGGCTCATTCAAGCAAGTCCTTCGCCTCTTCCAGTCGAATGGGCAGAGCTTCGGAGCAACTCATGGCTTCGGCAAAAAGTCGGTCCATCCCTTCCCAAATCCAAATCCACGTCCATTTTCCCCAGATCCCGAGAGCCCCTTCTAGCGGCAGCGACCCACACCCTGCCAAACACACATTTCGAAAACAATGAATCGGTTCATCGACAGTGTGTGCTGCCAGCGCACGTTCGCACAGGCGGCGTGGATTCGGGCCCACACGCTGTGCGTCGACACTACATGGCGCGTGCACGCCTGCACATCAGACGCGCGCAGCGCAGGCACAGGCTGCGACGTCGGCGGCGGTTTGAAAACATCGGGGTGTCTGGTCCGTCCGTTGAAGCAGGAGTACCTAAGTACCGACAACGATCGGATAGGAAAACACACCAGAAATCCCATCGTTTAAAATCCTGTGGAAGAACAATACGCGGAGAGGGCGGGACATGTTCCAGACAGAATCATGGGAGAGAGGATAAAGGTAAGGAAAAAATCACAATTTTGAATGGACAGAACTGCGCTTGCATCCCATCTCGAGAATCTCCCCGACTCTGGGACAATCGCCGTCGACGACCGTCGACGACCGTTGACGACAACGGACAACGGGCGAAAGAGGACGAAGACAACGACGACGACGACGACGACGACCGTCGACGACGACGACCACGACGACGACGACGACCACCACCACCACGACGACGACGACGACGACGACGACGACGAGGACGACGACGACCACCACGACGACGACGACGACGACGACGCCGACGCCGACGACGACGGGACGACGGACGGACGACGGACGACGGACGACGGACGACGCACGACGACGGGCTCGGGGGGCGGCCTGACGGCGAAGAAGAGCGCCGTGCAGGGCAGCGACAGCGGCACGGCCATGCTGAGCAGCAGGCCTGGCGCCCATGGCCGAGAATGCGCCGCCAGAATCCCACCAGCCCTCTGGGCGTAGGTGGTCTGGGGAGGCTCCTCTTCCAACCCCCTTCTTCCCCTTCGGGGAGGGGCTTACCCCTCCCACTACCCCTGGACCTGGACGGGCGGTGCTGCGACCCATTGGAGCGTCCAAAACGGCCTCGGCGAAGAAGCCAAAGTCATTGGTTTGACTTTGGTTTTGGCCCCGTTTTGGCCTCTTGGTGGGGGCAAGGCTAATTGCCACCCCACCCTTCTTTGATCGATGGCCTCCCAGATGGCCCCAAAAGGCGCCCAGGCGGCCCCAAGAGGCCCCAAGATGGCCCCAAGACGGCTCCAAGATGGCCACAAGAGGCCCCCAGGAGGCCCCGAAAAGGACCCCAAGTGGCCCCAAGAGGCCCCCCCGAGGCACCCAAGACGCCCAAGAGCCCTCCAGGACCGCCGAGAGACCCCTAAGACGTCCCAAGAGGCCTCCAAGAAGCGCCCAAGAGATATCCCAAGAGGCTCCGAGAGGCATCCAGGAGACCTCTGGCCCTTTTGCTTGCCCTCCTCCTCCTGCTCCTCCTGCCTCATCCTACTTATTATCTTCCTCCTCCTCTTCCTCCTTCTCCTCCTCCTGCTCCTCCTCCTCCTCATCATCATCAACATCATCATCACCACCACCACCATCACCACAACCACCACCACCACCATCATCATCACCATCATCATCATCATCATCATCATCATCATCATCATCATCATCATCATCATCATCGTCATCATCATCACCACCATCATCATCATCATCATCATCATCATCAGTTTCCTTCTCGCCATTCCCTCATCCATCCATCCATCCAGCCAGCCTCCTCCTTCTCCTCCTCCCTCCTTCGCGCGGTTCGGCCGTCCACCTCTTTGCTCCCACACTTCCCTGATCACATCAACTCGCCTGGACATCGCTTCTGGATGGGCTGGTGGGGATACTTCTTTTTTTTACAGCCGCAGGCGGAAGCGCCGGCGGCGAGCAGTCACGGTCGGGCTGCGGCCGCGACTAAATTCCAGGGCGCGCGCGGGGGCCGCGGATCAGGCGGCGAGGGGGGCGGCAACCCAGGGCGTGTGAGAGGCCAGGCGGTCGTGCAAGCCCAGGGAGTCTGAGGGGTCAGTCACCTGAGGCGGTCGTGCAAGCTGCAACCCAGGGAGTCTGAGGGTCAGTCACCCAGGAGCAAGCCAGGCGCGGCCAAAATGGCGCGCAGTGCGTTCCCAGTCGTGGTCGTGCCGAGACAACCGCGTGGTGGTGGGAACCGATCTCCGTGCGAGAAAGTCAGCCCAGGAAGTCTGACGGGTATGAGCAGACCGAAACTGGTGACGTCGTCCAGCAAGGAGGGGGATTCTGACAGCGCCAGCGAACCGTCGCAGCTTCAGAAAACGCATCCGCGGCGGAAGGGTGAGCCTGAGGCCGAACTGGCAAAGGCGAACGCCGACCCACTGCTGAACGATGCGCCTGCGTTCAGAGGACCAGCGATCTGGTCTGGACGCAGCAGGGGTACACAAGTAACCACCCTGTGAGAACGCGAGGTCACTCGAGAATGGACGTGCACCGAACAACTATGCGACATAGCGCCAGGCGACCCACACACCCATGTGGGGAAGCGCTCGAAGGACAGCAACTGTCCTATACCCAAGACAGCAAGTCCCTCACAGTCACAGAGTCCCAGGGAGAAACGCACACCTGAATGCGCAGGAGAGCAACGAAGAAAGACCGAGTGCCCGTCATACTCCGAGACCGCGCAGCGCAGTCAACAGAATGGTGACGCACGGCGACGGTGGGCGGCGCTGATCAAAGTCACGTCATCGGCCCAGTCGGTGCGGGGCGCAGGCGGACCAGGTGGGCATCCGCAAGTTCGGCGGGGCGACCCACGACGATGGACTGCCCGTACCTCCGTGTCTCGCGTTGCTCCCAGGAGAAAAGAGGTAAGCACGGCTGAGGGCCGCGGTAACTTGATGACCCCAGGGAGTTGAGCGCAGGTCTGGGGACGGGGCGACAACCGCCAGGTCGTCGGCCACAGGGCTGCGCGCCAGGCTTGGCCTGGCAGGGTGAAAACAGCTACAGTGGGGCCAGGGGCCACTATGGCCACACGCAACACGAGATTGCAGTGTGGACGGTATTGCTGGCACACATACTTGGGTCCAAAGGCAGGAAGTGCGCGTACCAGGAGGGGCGGCAGGATGCCGCAAGCTGGGTCTGTCGTCCAAGGAGCGGCTGAAGGCCGCTGTCTGATAGAGAATCCCAGGGTCCAAGCACGTCTCGGGAGTGGGCCTCGGTCGGTCCCAAAGCAGCATAGCCGAGCACAGGACCATTCGGGCCACTGGTGAGAACCACTACAGCGGGGCCAGGGGCCAGCTAGGGTCTGCGCGCTACGCTCCCCCGCGCAGCGAAGCAGATGGCATGGCTGGTCGACACACTTGGGTCCAAAGGCAGGAAGTGTGTGGACCAGGGAAGGGGGCAGCGGGGCTGCCACACGGTTGAAAGAGAAGGTAAGGCAGCTGAAGGCCGCACATAGTGCGTAGTGAGATTGTCATCTCGGGCTGTCTAGGTGCTGGATGTATGGGAAGTGAGCTCAATCTCTCCATCGGTGCCTCTTTTCGCTTCGCTCGTCAGGTCTGCCTCCACCACGCTTGCCTCCCGTCTGCCAGCGGTCGTCGTGCCAGCCGTCACTCCAGTCGCTCTGGCAGGTGCCCCAGGTGTCCCAGGAGCTTGCCGCACGGTCTCGCCAGCTGCTCTGCTGGAGGTTGCCTTTGCCCTTGCCGTCGGGTCGGGTGTGTCGCAGGTAGTCGGCCCGCAGTTTGGCCCAATCAATGCGATAGCCGTACCTCGTGTCCATCAGGTAGGCGTTGTACCCGCAGCCCTTCCAGTCGTCGAGAAACTTGTTGATGGTCGCTTCCGCGTGCAGTCTCGGGTCTGATTTGGGCCCCCTGGATCCAGGGAGCCAAATGCGCTGCGTGTAGGCGGTCCACAGCGCGCAGAATACTGCACCCAACTCCGACTGGTACCTGGCGAGGCGTTTGGCGGGTGGCTCGTCGTGACGCTCCAAGTCCACAGTGCCCAGCCAGACCCTGTACATGGGGCCCCCGTGTGAGTCGGTCAACAGGTTGAGCGTATGGCGCTCCGTCCAACGAGGGTAGGTAGGTCTATGTCCAGGGACCTGTGGGTTACGCAGTAGGGGACGACGGGTCCGCACGTCGCCCCTGGCGCGGGCGCTCTCATCATCCTGAGATCCCCTGGCTGCCCTGGTGTTCTGGTCGGCGTTAGCCGGGCCACCCCCGGCAGCAATCGGGTCACGTTCGGAGCTGGGTTCCGAGCTGTCTGCCGTTGGGCCCCGCTGAGGCGCCTTGTCGCCTGGGCCGTTGTCGTCGACCTCCGTGGCAGAGTCCGAGCAGGATACAGGAGGAGGGGACCCGCGGGGTTCCCCAAAGTCGGGTGACTCCACCTTCTCCGTTGGAGGGATCACGTCTCCACCGCTCTCGTCCTTGACAGTGTGGTCGGGCGGGTCCGGGAGACCCAGACGCGAGTCGTCGTCTCTCGTACCCGGGGACTTGTCTGTGTCGGCCGCCGTAGGGGCGCCAGGCCTGTCCTCACTCATGGTCTGCGCGCGTGACTCGGCCAAGGAAGCGATGGTCGCAGAGGCGAGGGCATTGGCGCTGAGGCTTAGTAGGAAACTCGTCAGCGCGCCCATGTCGTGTCTGATGGGACTGAGGCCACTCGCCGGGGCCAGGATCGAGGCGCGCCTCACCCAGGACTCCCTATGTTTCTCGCCGTTGGTGAGGTGGGCGACGACTCGCGCCGCGGCCAGCCGTTTACCCTCCCAGCGCTGGTTGAGCGGGACGCAATCCTCAGGGATGCATTCGCCGCACGCCGTCCTGAGGAAATCAGTCAGAAGTCCGCCCGGCCAGGAGGCTTCATCACACCTAGGCTCTGGGATGCTGCTGTCGCGGTTGGTGAGACAGAACTGTCTCCAGGTGTAGTCCAGCCCAGGGTGGAAGTCACGGAGGTAGGTCACCAGCAGTCGCTGTGCGGACAGTCCTCCGCTGCCTGGTCCGCTCCCGGGGTCGTTTGGGCTCAGCGTGGGGTTGTTGACGCCCCTGTTGTCCAGGAGCGGGCCCTGCGGTACTGGCAGATCTGGCAGGAGCTCCATGAGCTGTGCTAGGGACCTGGGAGTTCGCTCTACCGCGGAAGCAGCACCACCCGCGGCGCTAGACCCAGGGAGGTTTGTCGATCCGGCCTTGGCGAAGCGATCCTGGGCCTTGGCGTCCGCGCCTAGGCGTGGGAGGGACTTGAATATATCCACTGATACCTCAGCTCCGATCTGGCTGCTGAGCGTCGGGAGGACAGGGGCCTCGGCTGGGCGCAGCGCTCTAAAGTCCCGATCCAGGATGCGATTCAGGGTAGCAGGACCGATATTCCATACCGGGACCAGGCAACGTCGACAGCACCAGGTGGCGTTCCATCTGCGCTCCCACCAGGCTATGGCTCGCCTGTCGATGGGAGGCAGCCCGGCCTGCTCGGGAACCCCTACCCCTTCCGCAGGCTTCCATATGAAACAGCCCAGGGGCGGGGCTCCTGTGTTCCAGACGAGGAGCGGAGCCCCCGGGGGGCATGTGTCGCACCGGGCGGAGTAGATTTGGCTCTGGGCAGCTTTGAGGCCGAACCGTTCGTCTCGGATCCATAGGATGGGAATGGTGGTGTTGGCACGCTCAGGGATCTGCATGCCCGTCGGCGTCATGATGAGGTCGGATAGCGATCTCGTGTCCGCCCGGGGGCTGCATCCAAAGCCAAGTGGGAGGTGGCCCAGGGAGGGGAGAGCGTCCGCCTTGTCGTTGCTAGCGGCACCCGTCCTCTGTTGTTCGTGTTCCTTGACCTTGTCGGCAATTGTCACACCTGTCGGTGCTGGAATGCCCTGATCCTCCAGGTATCGTATCCAGCAGGTCTCGCAGTGCCACCCCATGTTTG